TGAAAAATAACGCGATGAAAAAAAACGCGCGAAATCTGAGATCAAACGTTTCGCTAAATTTCCCCAGACTTTTCTGGGGAAAACGGGTTTCAACAGCTGGGCTGCGCTCATAGCACGTGCGCGCAGCTTGGAAGCGGGTTGTCAGGTGAATATTCGGTGAAGGCTTTGGTGTGAGCTATTTTTCTAATGTTTTGTTGATATCTCACAGGCGCGAGCTTTTTATATGTTATGACAGTAAATTAACTGTTTATATAATTTCATTTGTCTATTTCACCACACGTTCTTCTTACCGAGAAACTTTCTCAGTTCGATACTTAAAAGCAATGTCATTATTTAGCGTTGACAGAATTTCTAACTGTGACATAGATATGTCGTTGTCACAGACAAAACTCAATGTCTTGTTTTATTGACACCTGTGTGTCTGCCTGCCTGTCTGCTAATAACAATATTCAATACACAGCTGCTATCACTGACCACAAGCGATTTGAACTTAACACCAATCAGGCTATACACCATAAACAAAATGCATTGATTTATGGCCCGAGTTCGGTCTCTGTCACATTATGTAATTACACAGACAGGCAGGTGTGATACTTGAACACATGACATGTTATGATGTCTGTTGATTGCAAAATGTTCTACACAAAAAATGAGCATGTATTTACAAAACCCAACATCTCTCTATATATATACACACAATTAGCCGTGAAGGCATCTGCAACTGAACCAGCCGTTACACTTGAGTGCACACCCACCCGCTCTGACTGGGTTCGGTATCCCGGCTGCTTCGTTTCTTGGGAAGTAAACCGAAGTACACAATTTTGCACTTTCGATTTGCGATTGTACGCTTATAATTTTGTTTATATATTTTTTCGTAACCAGCAATGTATATTATATGTCATGAATAAGTGATAATTGTGTTTTAATTATGTTTGATTTTTTGGTTGCATGTGACCTTTAATGTATGAATGAAAGAATGAATGTAACACCTGACGGAAGGGGTGTAAATCCACGGTGGTAACAGTATTGCAAATCCCAATGATCCGTAGTATAGTGATCTAAAGCCTGTTTGTATATTGTATTGTTCTCCATAGTGATAGCTTTTTATGATAACAAGCTGGTTTTAAGTCAGAATCTATAATACTCAAGAAGTTGTACTGTACATTGACGACAGCTTTTTGTGACTAAATTTACACATTATTGTGACGTTAAATAATAACTCACTCACTGTTGACGCCTTTCTGTGTTAAGTAATGGAAATGGTATCACTATCATATGATTATAAGCCAGTGCGTCTTAAGACGTCTGCTTGAAAAAGGCCAATGCCCATTTCGTGGGCCTTAATGCCGCAGCCAGTAGTTAGGGTAACATGAAAAGCTGACCACGGACTACAGGCTGAATGTGAACTGTCGACACATAACAGTAAAGAAACAGGCATTTGAAACATTCACAAATGATATAGTGGTTTTGGTTTGTTTTACTTTTTCACGGCGTACTATTTGCAATGGTGTCAGTGTATTTAACAATAAGCCGTTTTTGCGCGTGTTATGTAGTTGGAAACCAAGAAGCAACCGCAGCCTTCATTATTTTCACTTTCATTATTTTCTGCCTGACTGCAAGCTCGCTGCATAAAATCTGGGGTATTTTTTTATTCACCAGGCTAAATCGTAATGAAAGGATCGCCACAATAGTCTCAGTTTGAAGTGTAATAGTATTTCCTAAAATGATCTTGTTCTTTCCGCCTATCACATGAAAAGTGTTTTTGTACCAGACATAATGCACGCCTAAAATTACTCATATAGCGTGTCTCTACTGATCGTTTATGCTACATTGTTGGTGTGACACATTCACGATTTGATAAGGCAATGTCAACCTGACATGACTTTGATGTCACATGACTATAATGCCAATATCGCTATTGTTCAGCAGTTAACAAAAGCGACACAAAATAATCATGATAGATATCTGCCAGACTGCACGCTGTCAACCACTCGGTATGAATCACAAACATTGATCACACAGCTTCTCAAGGAAAGTCGAGGTCACCCTGCCCCATAGGTGTGACACGCACGAAACTCAATCAATGGCCAATCAGTTGTGTTCAACTCACAAAGGGGACTGCGCAGGAGGACATGTTACTAACAGGTACGTTACATATACTGTGAATAACTTAAAATTGGATACAATGAAAGTTATTTCAAAAGTTCTAAAATTAACCCTAAATAAACACGTAGCAGAGCACTTTGCATAAAATTTGATACCACGTATAACACGTGGCAAGTGCGCTTAGTGAAACCCTGGATAACCTTCTGTTCAAAACAACTAACAATTGATCATTTGACACATCGAAGTCACAGGCGGCGTCCGATGCGGTTCCTGCTTTGACTTGTGTCGTGTATGTGGTTGTTGATTTTCTTCGGAAGGGCAGTTACCTTGCCTTTGCGCGTGTTTCTGATACCAGAGATATAATGTGTGCAAGTTTAGGCCAGGAACTCTGTAACCTCGTGTCCTGCCAATATATATCACAGCTAAATTACATGTACTTGTTGAAAGAGCTTGGTACATATGACACATCAATTAATGCCACATATAGGTGAAGTTTGTTAACTGAGGAAGATATAGGGAAGGAAAACCAAGTTCTGACTATAAAACCAGAAGATATGTACATTCCTTTGGAATCCAAAGCGAGTGAGCTCTTCAAGCAAGTGGTGCAAGTGAGCCCTCAAGCAAGAGCTCACATGCTTGATAACGGTGTTAGTACCTACACCGAAACGTCGCACTCATTGCAATAAAGAAGTTGACTCTCCATAGAACTTGGGTTTCCATCACCTATACAACTTCTAAATTGCCTCTCAAAGAAGTCATGAGGAAGATATAGCCTAAACTATTCAACAGTGTTATCAATGTTTAACTTGACTCAAAATCCAGAAGACATGCACATTTCTCTTGAATACAAAGCCACATAAAAATCCAATTGGTAGTGTAAATTCATGACTGAAATTGTTAGTGGCTGTATACTTAAATGGTGTTAAAGTACTGTCAAATTATTGTCCTCCTGATATTCAAAGTATATTTCCTCTTACCACTATTGTAATCGTAGGATATGTGAGCTTTTAATTTATGGCACCGCATCTCTGACTTAAAGATTAATCATAATCCTTAATACTATCGGTGAGGACTGTCTTTATATTCACAGACAGTCCAAGCGGATTGGATTTTTGGAAGACAGAATCGGTCCGAACTCAATTCTGGACAATTATTGATCAAAACTGAAAGCAAATGGCATCTGAAGTTTACTGAGAAAACAATACGTGAAACTCTGGACTTCCTCTTTGATAACATGTATGTACATATTAGGGTTAAACAATTGACAAGTAGTTGCCAGCCTAATGGGCACCAACGGTTTTTTGTAGTATTGTCGTTTCTCGGCATTTCTTACCCAGCAATTTAAATTGTCAAAGTAATTTTCCCTATAATGTCACATTACACAGAGCAGTATTGGTGTGATATGATCGTTGATAAAATATAGGTTAGGTTACACTACCATCAGCGTTCGACAGTGGGTATTTTTTAAGCCGCTTTTAGCAATGCTCCAGCAATATCACGACGGGGGGACGCCAGAAATGACGACAAATAACGTTAACATTGACCTGATCATGGTCATTGCCAACATAAGTGTTTCAGTGTTCATGTAATCAAACTGTTCTCATTGCAAATGGCGCTTTGGGATCGAAAGGCGAAATGCGATGGCCATAGGTCCTATGCAAAAGTATTTGAATTATAATTAATTCATGAAACTAATAACTAGTTGACAGCGTCCAAGTGTGAAAAAAAACCTTACACCCATTTCATACTAAATGGGTATATCATCCGGTTTATAGTTTCTACAATAAGCGTCATTATTCAATAACACAAAATCCTCCCAAACGCTTACATATTGCAGTATTATGGATCGGTTATCTTAGAATCGGTGTTAGGACTGAATCATATTTTGCCACTTCATGATACATAAACACTCACTGTAATTATCATATTGTTTACATATATTTCTAAGGATACAAACATTTTGATGACCCCACCCAAGCCTCTGAGCCACCCGATGATTTAAGAGAGGATGAGGTGGATACAGAAATATGTATAACACACATTTAACCCTTTCATGTTTACATTTCTCAACTTCTAAGGTATAATTGAACATATTCTTTTAAGCACGTTTTCAAGGAGGGGCGCACGGCTCTTGCTCAGAAGAAGTTAGATCAAATTGCATCATTCAAGGCTTCAGTATTTTTGAAAAGGTTTATTGCTGATATGTTGAGGAAATCTCCAGAAATGACGCACTTGTGACAAGAATGATGACCAATGCACTTTCTCATTTTGATTTACACCACAAGTTCCCTGTTTTGTTCTATTTGGAACCATTTTCAGATGAACACCTGACTAGCCATGTGTTTATGACAGGTGTCGCCGGTGGGGCAAGTAGACTCATCTTTATAGTATAATCACTATTTGATAGTGATTCATCTTGTACATTCGACTATGCTCCTGGCCGAATTCTTTGGCATGAGGAAAGGGTTTTGCCATTTTAATTTGCATCGACACCCTACTTTAAGTAACTATGCAATAACTTATTTTGCATACTGATGTTGATGAACATAATACTGTCACAGTAAGTGATTCAATTTCGTGTAATTGAAGTTAATACTTTTAGATAATCGGGAGTTGTCTCCATTTGTAACAACGCGCCAAGACATGGCGAATGTAAACTTGGTTCTGGAAGATTGAACCTTTACAATTATGGACGCTCACGTCATCTTTTGACTAAGTACCAAATACAACAACTACCAACTAAGTAAATGAGCTACATAACCTGTTCAAGCCTCATGGTCGCCGGGCTTATTGTGGTACCAACTGGCACACAAGCATGCGTTTGTCTTGTTTTAAAACCAAGAACTGAACAATTTATAAAATATCGAGAATATTCAAACATAATAGACCAAATGTGGCGTGTTGCAAACTATTGTTCACCAAAACACATTTACTTTGTATTCTGTTACTCTTATGACACCGATCATAGTTGCAAACAGGACAGGACAGAAAGCACCAAGTAACTAAACAATATATATATTCATGACAAAGATAAGAAGGGGTATTGTGGCACATTTAGATTAGAAAATGATAATATTGGCAGAGGTCAGCTGCCGTACGCAAAGTGCAGGCCAGGCAGTATTCCGCGCATATAGACTGCTTCAATGTCGTCCTGTCCTCGATTTGACAAATACCATCACCTTTTATAAAATTATAGAAATGGAACTAGACAACTAATAGCATAAAGCGAATGTCAAAAATACATCTACCAAAACCGTAGTGTCAGACAATGACATTTAGAAAAAACCAAAATATTCGTTCTAATGCAATATCGGATCACAAGTTTCCCTTCTATCATGTTGTCGATATAAGGCTTTCGTTAAAATGCAACTTAACAACTAACAACACAGTGGTAATGCCTAAAATACGTAATGCGTTGTAATAGACAATTGCAAACAATGTTTGAAATGGCTGAATGTCCAACACAATAACCCATAAACCCCCTGTTCACACAAGCGTTGTTCAATATTGTTCAGCAGTTATGATCATGTATAAGTAGGTGATATTAACGTAAAATATATTTTAAAGTGACACAAGCAGGTCCTCAAGTCTATGATTGACAGGTGTCCCAGGAAACATTCCCTTCTGACGCTGTCCCGAGTTCTGATCTATGATGTTTGAGGCATTGACAGCTGGAAAGAGATCAGGTACTCTGGGTAGGAATGTGTGTCCCGATAGATGCAGAACAGCGATGGTCGTGAAGTGTCATTTGTGGTTGAGGTATACCTGACAGAGCCAGTACGGTAAACGCGGGGAGCATCCCTCATAGTAGCATCCCCCTTGGTGTATCTGCCAGTCAGGACCCGAGCCCTGTAGACATATTTGTTTCCAGAGGTGTCTTGTGGAGAGTACTTGTCCATAGAAGAGATGCTTGCAACCACGGCGAAGTACACACCTTGTCCGAACAGGGTAGCTGAAATCGGAAAATTGAAAAATGAATGGTATCGTAAAGTTATTAAGGGAGCTTGGTTTAACACTGCTGTTACACTAGTTAAGCTCATGTTGGAGGAAATGGAGAGATGATAGTCTTACGGTTATAAATGGTAATGCCAGGTAATTAGTCTTGATTATCCAAGGCAAACTTGGTGATGAAACATTTATGAATGGATTGCTGAAAACATATTTCACACGCGTTCGCGAAATGAGAGTGCATGACCTGCCCTAACGTTAGCACCTGCCACTTTGGATGAAAAGTAAATGCTTGTTGTCGGGTTCCGAACAGCAATACCCCTTCAAAACCCATATACTGCTTTAAACCAACCATCTTGGTAAAGCACACGTGAACGAGTATGCCCTTTCAAACCTGAAAACCTAATCAGGGTTTGTAGAAAAAGCATTATGTGTTCAATAGACGTGCACACAGAATGTTACCTATTTGACACTAGATTTCAACCTGGAAATCTGTATAACGTGAGATGAAACGTGAAAATGAAAATAGTTTCATAAACTTTCCCTAACCATCTTGATCAGTCGACACCGGATTTTTTCGGAAAATTCCACACCATTCCGGTCTCCCGGTCTTAATATAGTAACCTGCACATCACTCGGCTGAATGTTAACATAAACTGTGCAATACAAACAGAACATTGAGTACAATGTCTGCAAACACTACATCATAACTATACACTCATGTATATAATTAATAATTATCTTAATTAACAACTGAGCCCAATTCAAACCATATGTATCACTGTCAGATAACCATATGTATCACTGTCAGATAACCATATGTATCACTGTCAAATAACCATCATGCCATGAAAAGCGTATGAAAACAATTCTATTTAAATGAGCATGACTAAAATCTGGATCTTTAATTTGTTTAATAACAAATGTTTCGTTCAATGTGATAATGTTTTTTTCTTTCATGATGTTCATCACTGGTCTCATTTAAATGGTTAATACGATAGTCAACTGACCGTTCTTTCCGCTGTAAGACCTATTAAATCCATATTTGTTGATGTTGGGAACAGCTTCTACGTCAGTTCCATGCCACATGATGCGTTCATTGTCTTTGGAGGGATGCTCCTTCTGGACAGTCTGCATCTCGATCTGGTACTGTCTGTACAGGTGCGGAATCTGAATCCTCTCAATCTGAGGTGAGACATGAAGATACTCATAAGCCTCCTACTGCACCACGGGATCCAAATGCAAATATTTCGGATCATGAAACGATCATTTTTATATGCATTTTCAAAAGAATTGCTTTAATCAGGTCACTTTGATAAATTCTGTTTTGGGTGTCAACGTTGTTTACCTTAGAGATGGTGACACGTTTTCCCTTTCCACCCAATGCCGTCATGAAACTGTTCTTCACCCTCATGTATTCTATGCTTCCTTCAGCAACGTTGAAAACCCTCTGGTCAGACTCGACGCTTTCCCAGCAAATGGGATAAGCTAGATGGACATGCACAAATATTTACGTTAGAAAATTGTACAGGTTGGTTTGGGGTTTTTTTATGTTTATTTTTAAAGTGAAATTGAAGAAAAGAATACTTCATTCCCTCTTTTGACCAGTTTTCTCCACAATTGTTAGGCAAATGTGAAAAGACCAAGACATATTTGACTATTTTATTCTTTCAATAAACATTTGTATACAGCTTCTGCTACCTCTCTTCAGCAAGCAGCCATTATGTCAAGGTCGGTTGCTTCATAAAGGAACAGGCACATGCACCGAGAAGTAAAAATACATGACTGAAGCCTGTCTACATTGATGCATATTTAATGCCACTGGAAAACTCAAGCCAATACGTCACTTTATGCAATCTGTAAGAATAATAAAGTAGACTGCAATATAACAGTTCCAGGTACAAGCCGAACAGATATATAGCACAACAGGTATATAGCACAACAGATATATAGCAAAACAGATCGTACTTACCCACAAAACCAAAGTCAGCAACTGTTTGTAGCGTCTCATCCAAATGATGACACACTTTGGTGAGGCGGTGGCATGGTCCCTTCAGATGTACCTCTCCACTACCGTGTACTATGTTGACCACTACGCTCTCTTTCTCCGCGAACGCCACAAGATCTTCCGTCTGAGGTTGACAGGAACAGAGGAACAGAACAGTGTTGTTTCAAGGACGGGTAATAGTGTAGAAATGAAATGCAGAGTAGCTTAATTTACTGAGATATATTCCTTTTGTTCGAAATATATCCACCATATGTATGGTAGAGGTTAAACGACACCTAGGGTGATGGGTAGCCTTGTGTTTAAAGCGTTTGCCTGTCATCCCGATTCCCCACATGGGTACATGTGTAGCTCTTGTGTCCCCGTGATATTGCTGAAATATTGCTAATTGCGGCGTAAACATAATAAACTCACTCACTCACCCTTTACTCACTACACAACATCTATGCCAATGAATCATATCTGACATAAATGACTTTTGGAATTTTAGCTGCATTGCAGTACGTCTACATAAGTAAGAGAACGCCTCCGTGATGTAGTGGTTAGAGCGTCCGCCCGGAGAGCGGAAGGTCGCGGGTTCGATCCCCGACCGCGTCATACCAAAAGACGTTAAAATATGGTACTTGAAGTTGAAGGCTGAAGTTTGGTTAAATCGCCGACACGCTGATGACCCATGATATATAGAATACAAAATGATGCCCATGGCTTAGTTGACAATATATAGACAATGGTGATGGAAAATGACACAAATGACAGGGTTATCATTGTGGAACATACCTTTGTCATTACACTACAGCCAGGTGTTTCAAGCATACCATCCGCTGGCATCTCTGTTTTTGAGGTGTTCCTTATAAGTGCCCTCATACGAGACTTCAGCCTTCCTGTTAACCGGAAACGTAACTTGAGATATTCCACGGTTGGATATGATATGAGTTATCCCAGTTATCACGTATATAACTCACTGACATGCTTATAAGACATTGTTTGTTCTTTCTGTTAGTTCATTAACACCGCAATCAACAATATCCCAGTTATTTGAAGCGATCTGTACAGAATCGAGTCATCGATAATCGATATGCATCAATATACGCAAATGGGATACAATGACATTTATCTTACCTCAGACATAATTGTCGTTTTCTAAATGGCTGAGGGCTCTTCTATTATACTCTGCAAAAAAAGAAACGCACAGGTGAAAACTCAGGAATGTAAACACTTTATTTTGTTTCCAAATAAAACTTTAACTAATGATCGCACGAACGTAAAATTTCACATGGATGTTGTCAAGAGTCAGCTTTACAACATGCAGCTATCATTTGTCTCTGAAACCATTGCACCGGGCGTACAGATGGCGTGGAGGTCAGTACCTGTTGTGACCACCTCGAGCTTGCAACACAGCTTGGCACCTCCTGTCCATGGACATGATCAGTCTTTGAATCCGTGCTTGGGGGATCCTCCTCCATTCCTCCTGCAAGGCTTGAGACAGTTGTTGCAACGTTTGGGGTTGAGGCTGACGACGTCGAACGCGTTTCCCAAGCTGGTCCCACAAATGCTCTATTGGGTTCAAATCGGGGGATTTTGAAGGCCAGGGAAGAACTGTGATGTTCTGATTCGTCAGGTAGTCCATCGTGATGCGAGCCACGTGCGGTCTGGCGTTGTCCTGTTGGAAAACGTGACGTTGAGGGTTGATGACAGGTAAAGATGACGTTGCAGAATTTCATCCCTGTAACGAATTGCAGTCAGGTTACCACGGACGTGCACCAAGTCACTTCTCCGTTGTAAGAAATGGCCCCCCATACCATCACACTTCCCCCTCCAAATCTGTCCGCTTCAACTACACAATTACGGGCGTAACGTTCGTTTCTCCGTCTATAGACCCTCGTCCTACCATCGTGTCTTTGAAGTTGGAAACGAGATTCGTCGCTGAACCAAATTCGCTGCCAATGTCTCCAATTCCATCTCTGGACGTTCCTGCACCATCGAACACGTGCCAGGCGATGATAAGGTCGTAGTGTGCATCCTACGTGAGGTCGTCGAGGGCGTATCCCGTGCTGTCTGAGGCGATTTCTGATGGTCTGGGCGGAGACGCGGCGAAGGCCTGGGACGTTCTCTGCTGTTTGTGTTGCTGGGACGGCCCGGTTACGTAAATGGAACACCCGGATGTAGCGGTCCTGTGCAGCATTGGTTACCCGTGGTCTACCACTCCGAGGTCGGTCGCGGGTCGAGCCCAGTTGATTGTAGCGCCTCCATAAACGGGAAATTGTTGTGTGATGCACGTTGAAGTGTCTTGCAACTGATGACTGAGATTCGCCAGCCTCAAGACGTCCGATGGCGATGTTCCGGTCAGCTTCGCTAAGTCGTGGCATGTTGAATTCGTCAGTAAACTGGCGTTGAAAGTGAATTGAACACGTTAAACTGCCTTCCTCATATACCCTACACACTGGTGCATAGGTGAAGCAACTTTCACGTGCATATCGTTCGAAGTGTCATTTACACGTGAAAATTTCATGATATTTTCAAAAACCATCATCAAACAACAATATTTCATGAAATGGTGTGTTTGAGCGATACTCTTAATGGATATGAACAAGTATACATTATGTTTGGTTAAAGTAACCGGGTTTTGTTTGCATAGAAATAAAATAAAGTTAATTTTAAATTTCATTATCACCTGTGCGTTTCTTTTTTTTTGCAGAGTATATTTTCAATATAACCCACTTACAAGCAAGTAGTAACATTTCCTATGTTACCCGCTGATACTTCGTGTTCGCAATTCTTTATCTCGAATAATTGAGTCACGTATCATGTACGGAAATTACCGATATCTTGCGAATGCAAATCGCTTGAAGGGAGATAACTCCAAATATGTTTTTCTTGTCTGTCGTTGTCGGTAATGGCTAATTGCCTAACTCTGTTACTCCTTATTACGAGGGGCGGTGGGGTAGCCTAATGGTTAAAGCGTTGGCTCATCACACCGAAGACCCGGGTTCGAATCCCCACATATGCACAATGTGTGAAGCCCATTTCTGGTGTCCCCCCGCCGTGATGTTGCTGGAATATTGCTAAAAGCGGCGTAAAAGAAAACTCAGTCAGTCAGTCAGTCCTTATTATGATCCAATACCCGTGCTTCAAACAGTTCAAAAATAAATTGAGTTGTAACACTGCTGAAAACGGCGTCAAACCAACACATGCTCGTGATATAGTCAGATTGTGCAAACTGTTTGACCGAAACTAAAGACATTTGAGAGAGGACAAGGAATTGTTGAAAGCTAAGCAGCAAAAACAAACGTCAGTTGGGAATTTTCCCAGAACGGATAACCACAATCTCATTTAATGTTTTGATTGTATATTTTTGATATCTCCAACTTCACCTGAGCAAAGACATTCCTTGAAAGAATTGAAGCTGGCCACACTGCACAAGCCGTTGACAATCACTTGCAGGTCAACGTTTGGACCATCTACAGGCTGCAGCAACGTTTCCGGGCCACCAACACCACAAATGATCGCCCCCCGTACTGGCAGACCAAGGGCGACCACAAGACGACAAGACCGCCATGTTGTGCAACAGCATGTACAGAATCCCTTCATGCAGGCATCCGAAACAGCACGCCAGACACACGGAAGACCAATCACCGACATCTTAACAGCGGGAACCTCCATTGCCGTAGGCCTTACCGTGGACCTATCCTCACCCCTCGTCATCGGCGTGAATGTCTACGGGTTGCCCCACAACACCAAAACTGGCGATACAGGCAATGGAGAACTGTTCTGTTCACAGATGAGAGTGGGTACTGCTTATCAACTGCAGATGGCAGAATAAGAATATGGCGACGAAGTGGCCAGCGTTACTCAGACCAATGTGTTATGGAAAGAGACTCATGGGGAGGTGCAAGCATCATGGTATGGGGTGGAATAGGCCTGAACCAGAGAGTGGGTCCTGTGGTGTTCAAGAACCTTGGTCCAGGGAGAGGAGGCGGCATCACAGCGGTGCGCTACATCGACCATGCTCTCAGACCACACGTCATACCACATTTCGCACGTCACCGGAACAACATTTTCCAGCATGATAACGCCCGGGCCCATACTGCCAGAGCTACACGAGACTTCCTACAGCAGAACGGTGTCAGCATTATGCAGTGGCCAGCCCTTAGTCCTGATTTAAACCCTGATTGAACATCTTTGGGATGAAATTCAGAGGAGATTGGTGGACTCCATGCATAGACGCTGTGCTGCAGTTATTGCTGCTCGTGGTGGTCACACTTGATACTGAAGTCAAGAGTCTGAATGGACTGCGCAAGTGGTTCGTTGACAGGGTTTTATATATTATATGTATGTATTATAAATTTAGAACTAGTTTTAGCCACGATATGGCTGAAATATTGCCGATGTGACTTTAAATATTAACTCACTCACTGAATGGACTGCAAACGTTCACGTAATGTCTTGGAATTGTGCTCAGTTATTCATTGATGTGTCAAGATATTGTACACAAAAAATGTTTTTGATCCGCTTATTATGTCTATTTCTGTAATGATTTGATTTCAGTGCCTATCTAAATTTGAATTCGTACTGACGTTTTTCTACTGCTGAGTATATAACTGGGAAGTGTCTGTGCCGTTTGAATATCAGAGACTAGAGCATTTCCATAAACAGACGAAACATTTGAGCTTCCGACTGCATCATAAACAAGTATATATCTATATATACAAGACTGATTATACCAGTGTAATTTTTGGCCACTCTTCTAATTCTGAAATTGCTTACATCACCTACCATTCATTAGGTCATAAATGTTTTTACATACCTGCCTCGGTGGAGAGGTCTGGTATAGCCCTGAACACTGCGTCCTTGTACGTGGCTAACTTGGACTGGTCGGGGCAGAAGACTCGGATCCTTTCCACAGCAGTTGTTTTTAAGGTCATAACTGCTCCCACCATTTCCCAGGCTGCCTTCTTGAGTCCTTCTTCAAGGGAACGCCGCTGCATATCTGTTTAATGTTGACTGAATGTGGATGCACACATGACATATAACAACCTAATCAGTGACTTGTGAGTATAGGTTTTATCACTTCCATTCCATTTTTCTGTTCAAACTGTACATATGATAAAAGCAAGGTCAAGAGCGTCCTTTTTGCCGTGAAGTATGGTAAAGGAAGGAAATGAAGGACTTCATTGTCGCGATGTACGCTAGAAGTAAGGATACCTTTAATGTCGTCATGTGTTGTCAAAGTAAGGATAGGATCGACTTCATTGTCCTGATGTAGGATATAAGTAAGGATAATAACGCCCTTATTGCAGCAATGTATGGTAATAGTAAGGACATGAGCGCCTTCTGATGCCTTGGTGTATGATATAAATCAAAATAAGATTACTCTTATTACCGCGACACCGTGATGAACAGATAAGACTGTTGTTATTTATTGCAGTGATGTGTGATGAAAGAAAGGATAAGAACGCTTTTATTGTCGTGTTGTATGATAAAAGGAATGATACTTACCAGGTGGTACAGCAGGGAAAGCAATGGTCGTGTATTCAACCATCGCATCCACGTATTTGACGCATTCCTTTACAGTTTTCTTCCAACTTCCAAAATGTTTAGGTGCAGTGTGTAGGATCTTTTCGCACTGTAAGCCTGGAGCCCCGGTGAGGACAACGCCATTCTCCTTCATGGCACTTTCTGAAAACATCATGACTTACTTAGGGGAATGTCTGTTCAGTAACAGATGTATGAGAGAATAAAGACACGGCCTGTTCAGTGTCTTTGTCATAATTGTAGAGAAAACTACGTTTATAACGAACACGCTTATGGCGCTTGTATGTCCCGGTCATGTGCTGTTTATACGTATTTTTAGTCGAGATATAAAGTTTAATTACTGACTTGACTTAAAGTACACTTGGTATCATCTGTTTTTTTTATGCTACTGTTGTATAAAAGTTTCTGCTTTTAGCAGAGATTCCTTATGATTGTGGAAATGCTTTTGTGCATGTTTGTATGTGTAAGAGAACTAAAAATGATAACGTTAGACATACATACAAATTAAATCTGGTTCAACCAGTGAACAACTAGACTTGAACCTTACGTTCCCGAACCGGTGAATAACTGACAAGACTTTGCATATGTTTATGATGGGTGCCACCGGTGGGCCAGGATATGTGAACACCTGGTATCATTACTATTTCATAGTGATTCATAAACACAGGATCTGTCATCGTATCTCATGGTGTCAATCACTGGATTGTCTGGTTCCGACTCGATTTGCTTACAAACCATATCGTACAGCTGTAATACTGATGAAACAAATATATACTCATGATATGGACAGAACCGTATCCTTGACTCTGCTTCTTATGGATGTGGAAAGGGTTTTGTTGTTTCTATCAAATGTACATACCTTCATGCTGACATTCTTCAACAAAACTGGTGCCACATTTTAGTCTCAAACTTGATGAAACGTCACCTCAACAGAACAGACATACATATATATATACACACACAACATATTCAACATATATATCAGGAACACTATTTATGGATGTGGTAGGAATGTCTATAGGAAAAAACGCTAAGTCAACATCTTTTGAAGGGGTGTATCTTGTTTGAACAGTTTTGATGTAGGAGTGGATCAAAACAAGAACCAGCTCACCATAAAGTCATATATCTGTAGTACATGCACCTCTTGTAAGAGTTTCGAAGACTGTGTCTTGGTCGTCATGTACAATTAGAGTCGGTTAGGGCATGATAAGAAATTTTAACATCATAATGAGTCGTGAATAATTGTCCTACCTGAATCAAATGACAGTTGTTTTGTTGTGGGGTGAACGATGACATCTGAACAATAGTCAGTTATCTCTCCTTCGAGAAGGTCGAGGCTCATTTCGCCAATCGTAATGATTTCTATGAAGACACAATTAGTAATTGGCAATTGCTTTGGATTGTCAAAAATAGAATATATACACAAGGAAATGAATTAGAATATACATGAAATATATATATGAAATTTTGTTTCTGAATTCTGTTCCAAATATTATGAATTACCTGAGCTATTATCTTCAGAAGCCTCGACTTTGTGTAGGTGTCGTGTGTAAGCCTGAAATGTTCAAGACATATCGTATGGATGGCAGTGATGATTTCAGTGACGAATGCAAATCAAAGATAAATATGATAAAAGGTTTAAAGGAAACGTTCCCATAGGCAACAAGTAGCACACCCACCACACGCATCACTATCGTTCGAGATGAAAAAAGGTATAAAGTATAAAAAATACCCCAAGTAAGAAACGTTTGTCAGCCGGGACGGGACCACCATTTGCACTGTGACAGGCGAGGCAGAGCCATCGCATTGAAAACAACACCCTGGGAGACGCTACAAATATCAACGGTGAACCATAGATTGACCAAACTGAGCTGGCGTCATGAGCTGGTTCTGGTCCTGTCATAGGTATAGAACCATCTTATTCGAGATATATTCTGTGAGGGTGAAAGGGGGACTGCGAGATCTTCAGAAACAACCGGCCATGGTAGTGTAGATTTACAAAGTCTGTTTCTCAACATGCAACAAATGGGAGCAACTTGACTGTTGCAACTTGACGTTAGGTCACAAACGGTATGACATGATCTCGAACGATGTTTTCCCATTCATATTGCAGTTGATATTGAAAAGATCTCTCGGGCTGTCAGTTGAAAGTTGGACTGTCAACAATGTTTATCTCTTTGAAGATCCCCGCACCAAGCTTGGAAACCATGGCGGTGGCCCGTGATTGGAATTTGGGAGTATTGAGAATCTGGTCTCAACACAGGAATTGTTTTCCGTAAATGAACCAATTGACTGCGATTATATTGCTGACGTGACGTCGTACGTGTACATAAAGAATATTATATACTATTCCAAAAAGAAACGCATTACCCGAAAATCTGTTGCGAAAATGTTGTATTTTCAAACATTGATAACTCGTCCACAAATATACTTTAAGAAATGAATTTCTTCATTAGTTTAGAAGAAGGTATTGTCGATACAACTTAGTGGATAATTTCACATAACGGAGACGTTGAGCGCGATGGTGACCACGTAGCATGGTCCCGACGTCGGGTCTCCTGGCTCTCAGCCCAATCTCTCTCTCAACCCGTTCCATACAATTTGACCGGATATCCTCCGAAGTCCAGGCACCCTGGCTGCTGTGCTCTCACACGTGGCAGTACGATCACGCAAATGTAGTACTAGAGGCCCAGATAAGATGCGTATCCGGGTAAAATACTCATAGAAAATTTCAAACTACGCATTGAAAAATAATTGTTGCGTACCAATTACGCATTTAAAATGTTAGATACGCAAAAAGTTTAAAACAAATGCGTACAAAATATATTTATAAAAACTCGCTTGCGTAATGAAAAAGACATCGATTGCTATCAAGTTGTACTGTTAGTATAGGACAAGTGTTGAACTGTCAGTATAGGATGAGTGATTTTTTTATGAAATCATTTCCATAATATTTAAGTAGGTTTTGATTAGGTATGACATAAGGCAGAACATACCTGCTTAATAAACTTACTCAATGACATAATACTTAGGTGAGTAAAATGACTGAAATGCGCACATATTTGAAAGCAGTGGGTAACGGAAAATGAAATACCCACTCAACATTAACAATACCCACTCCAAAAATTTACAGTGGGTACAGTACCCACATGAGCTAAATCTTATCTGGAGCTCTGGACTGTACCGATATTGGGCTGCAGTGGTGACTCGAAAGTTCTGCCTGTACGGAGACATTTGTTATACCTGTTTGGTTGTAACGAGCTGCAAGCCGTGATATCATGCTCAGACTAACATTCAGACGCCTTGCAACAGAATTGGTAATCTCCAGCGTGCATTCTTTCAATGGCGATGTTCCGTGTCGCAGCGTCAAGACGAGACGTAGTGATTTGACCTTGAAACTCCTTCAAAACGGATGCCGATTTCCGAAAGTAATCTGGATTTATATATCCAGACAGTGCATGCTCTTTGCTGCACAATTTCAACTGGAAGGTGATTTCTGTTGCGTTGTAGCGATGCCTTTTTAATTCTTGTAAGAAATCAACATTTACAGGTAAAGCCCGACTCTTCACTTGTACATTTGTGTAAAATCATGTTATCAACACTTTTGTTACATATTTTGATGATTGTTTGAACACAATAGGTAATTAATAGATTTTTTAAATACAAAACGCCTATGCATTTCTTTTTTGGGATAGTATATTATGTTTTGATAAAAACATGTTTCGATGCATGGCGTAACCGTTCTTTATGGTAGAACGAAAGTTTTTTTATGAGTATTTGCCAGCTGAACAATCATTGCGTGCTTGTCACATATACAAAATGCGCGTATTAGCATCATGGTTTAAATATACATCAACATTGTGCATCATGGATAACATGCAAAGGTAAGGTTCAGGAGGTATCATCTAAATGTATTGAGCGATGCATGATGTAAGTTGATGTGTTTTGGCACAACCGCGTTTTGCAACACATACTTTTAAACGTGCAGTAACTGAAGTCAAAGTTACGTCAACGTTAGATGTCAAGTACCTACCTCTTTAAAGTCAAGGTCTTCTGGAAGACCGACGACGTGCACGTCCACAAGGGAAAGAGGAACATTGTCCAACTCCCGCACAGTGTCAATAATGGCCGCTGCTGTAACGTACTTTGGATAGCCAAGATTGCCAGATCCGAGAGCAGGAAAGGCAATGGATTTGTATCCCTGATTCGAAGCTTTGCTGATGCACTCAGTGACTACTTGTCGTAACACCTTACAAAATAAAAACAACGGATACCATAGGCGGATCCAGGGATTTTCTAAGAGGAAGTGGGGGTTGGGGGTGTCCGCCAATGGATACTGTCATCAACGTAAATATCTCACTTTAACTGTATTATTGAACGTTATTGTACATATCCTTGACTATCTTGTTTCCGGAAAGAATTTATTGCAACAATATTTATCAGGATATATTTATGTTGATTGAAGTGAAATGTAAAGGATAAACAAGAAAAATCAACCTGCTTAAAATCAGCCTTACCTCGTCTGATCTAAACATCTTGCTCTTCCAACGGGGCAGGCAACAGTGATATATTGCTTTACACTTCAGCCTTCCGCCAGATGTCTCAACTATCTCAGCAACACCTAATCCTGCTGGGCATTTATTCCTACACTCTTCTCCTATCTCTTTCCCTGCAGCCTTAAAAATACATCTGGAAAGTAGTCCAGTCAGCATATCTACATTTGGTCCAATGGAACTAACGATGACGTCATCCTGCAAAAACACCGATGCCTTATGTCAAGTTCCAGCTTTTCTTAACAATGACGCCGATTAAACGAATGTAAATTTAAGTTAAAGAACAATGACCTGAGACTTAAAATATATGATCAAGGTCACGTAACGATGAAACAACCCTTACAGATTCAGCGTCATATTTCAGCATCAATTAGAAAGCTTAATCAGTTATCGGCAAACCCAAGAAAGATTTACACAAAGATTTGATCCTAACGCCAACGCAAACATTAAACATCATCTTAACGGTTTGAATCGGCCTTAAAATTTATGGTCAGCTGAGCATGATTTCATGTTCAGTAATGATATGAGCTTACGTCTGTCCTGTCAGTTTTAGTTAAAGCTAGTCTGTCCCTGTCGCGCCAGTCACTGTTTACTGAGTTGACTCACTGCGACCTCTGGTATCTGTTGCTTGAGAAAGGACAAGTTGAGTGGTGTTGAAATATCTGTAACAACAAAACAATGTGATCTGTTTCGGTAACCGCAGTACAAAGATCGATTTACTGCTTGTTGCACATATTTCGGTGTCTTTAATGTGAGGCATATATGAGATATATATACATAAGGGCTGTATGTTAATATTGTACCAGAAGATAACTTCATTACTAGAATGTTTAGACATAACATGGTTTCTCTTACTGTTTTTTTTTCTTTGTTTTATCTTTTTGCATGGCTTGTTTCAGGAAACCATAGAACATTGTCATAGAACATTGTCACATCTTTTATTCAGAATTTTATATCATGATAACTACACCTGTATTCATATACATAGATGTCCATTTGTTGAACTTATCTTTACTCAAACTGGTTATTCATATATATGGCAGAATCAAATGACTTGTTCTCCTAAATTTATCAAATGTACTTCATTACATGATAGGAAATGTATATTGTGTAATGTTAGTCCCAGCGATGAATCCCATGCTGTACTAAAATGTCCATATTTGAATGTACAAAGACAACACTATCTACAGCTGTATTACTACCAGCATCCAGACACTGATAACCTTTGTGCTGCACAATTGTAAACTGAGTGTTTTACGGAAACTGAGTATTTTTGGTAAAATCATGATGAATGATTATAGGACGACTATGTAGCTTTGTAAACAATTATTTATATATAATGTAAACTTGTCTCCATTGTGACATTGTATATTGATCTGCATAAGCTGTTGTTTAACAGCCTGAAAGCAATAAAAGTTCTGTTCTTCTGATCCTGAAAATTACCACGGAGAGAACAATCTGCATATGTGCCGTGAATGCAAACTTCTGATGTGGCACAGACTCACACATACACATCATAACTGACTTATCAAAGTAATATTTGCTAAAGTGAGTATTGATAAAGTAATCTAAAATTAGCTTGTGCGGAATAGAGACGAACAGAAACTATAACATACAAATAAAAGGTTTGTCGTGACGTTAAGGAAAACGCTGACTGTAAATGCTCTCTGTTTGGTTTACCGATATTAGGTATCTAGTGTTCACCATTTCATTCGGAAATAATCCACTGATAAATGCTGGAGAACAGCCAACCAGCTGTATGTTGACATTGTATATTGAATATCCGTTCCTGTGTACTGTATAACCTCAAACAGCGGTCACCAAGGTGCTGATAACACTGTTACCAGGTCGTCACCACCTGTGTACCTTTTTAAAAACTCTGAACTAAGTCTTTTTCCTCACGTATGTGACGAAGCACATGGTTAGATGCATTGCCTGAACTGAAGAAGCCTACAAGCAGTCCATGAACTGAAAGATGCGGTTTTCTTATAGTATATATACACTCACCACCGTACCACCAGAGAGTCTTTCAAACGGGTGCTCCTCCCGTGTATCGACAGTTCACATTCGGTATCCAGGCTAGCTATTCTCAAAACGTTCGTAGCCCTACGAACTTCTTAAGCCCATTCTTAACACATTGCCTACGATCAAAGTTGAGAATTCCTAGGGCTACGATCGTTTCGAGAATAAGGGCCCAGGCGCGTAGCAAGCCATATTTTTCGCGTAAGCCCGATAAGTTGGTAAGCTTTATAGTTAGATAGTATTGAGGGCTTGCCCAACCTGTTTAGCAACAACCATGTGTAAGCCCATGCTAATTTAAACGTTTACTTGATTTGAGTAAATTCTAACCAAACAAAGGTTATTCTGGGTGAAACTGTATGTTTATAATATACGGACAATTAAGTACTGGATTAAACTTTTGCGAATGAAAGAAAGTCGATACCCCTTCTAAAGTTGTGTTATGCTTAAAGTCTTAGATGAGAATGGTAAAGTCAGTTGGGCATCGTATGTGAGACAAGTGTTATTTAATTGCAGTTTTGCGTATGTGTGGATATACCAAGATGCTGGTGATAAGAACATGATTTTGGCCTGCTTTTAGAAGATGTCTAAGAGATATTTATTTCAAAACATGGTGTCACAGTTTAGAGAAGTCTCCTACTTTCTTAGTCCATTATGCTAATATAAAATCTCTTTTGCAACCTGAGTTGTATATAACTATATTCCAAGACTTAAATATGCCTCATACAGAAGCTGTATGTTAAAACTGTGACCTTCATTTGGTAGGAGATGAATACCATGTCTGTTTTATATGTAAGAAATATACACACTTAAGAAACAGTTTTCTTACCTCGTTACAGAAATATTATAATGATAGAATTATGTTCGAAATTGTATTTAACTCCTGTGATATCAACATACTAGGCTACGCTTAAAAGTCTTATATTTATGCAGATTATTCAAAATGAGATCGACAGCGATAAAGGATATGGGACCTAAATATACTTTATCTTTTAACTGCACTATGGACCACAAGTAACTACTTGATTGACATTGACAGTACTATCACGAAAAGCCTTGCTGTTTTGTTTACACTATTGTGTTCATGTGACTTTAACCCCATGCGTCTTACGAAGGCTGCTTGGAAAGGTCCAATCACTGTCTGTTTGGCCTCAGTGATGCAACAACTGGATAATATGGCACGACTCGTTAACCATGGACAGGATACCAGGGGCGTATCTACCATTATAAAAAAAACCGTTTTTTCTTACTGTTGATATATCTGGGAGTGGAAGCCTTATGATCTTATCCTGTTATTGTTATTATTATTAAGACATCCAGCATGCCAGGCGAATGTCATTTAAAAATGTATATTTTTCGAGCATTTTCTTGAACCAACACTTTTCCAAAACATAACAAGCACTTCAACCCAGACCTACCTTCCCATCTTCCACAGTCTCAACTCACCAGGTTCTGACAGTTTCACTTCTATGATGCATCCTTCCTGATCCTGCAGAGACTTCACCACACATTTCCCCTTGTCAGACTCAAGGAACATCCGGATCTGCGGCTTTTCCAGACGGTATGTTTCTTCATAGGAACTAGCCATTCTTGTGGGATGTCTGACAAAGGTTTAATCAGTGCATAACTAAACACTTATGTTCAACATCATATATGTTCTATGGATTTTTGGACGTGTCTACGGAGTTTTTTCACACTTTTTCACAAACACAAGGCGTATACGTGTTCATATTATTTATAAATGTTTTGTCAATATTAAACACGTACGGAAGCGTAGTAGGGCCACAGAGAAAAAAGTTTTTAGTGTCACTATCTCCTACGTAAAATAAAATAATAATACGTTGGACATACTATCTCCTACGTACGACTTAGTATCTCCTACGTATGACGTAGTGTCTCCAATGTAGGACTTAGTATCTCCTACGTAAGACTTAATATCTCCTACGCAGGACTTAGTATCTCCCACGTAAGACTTAGTATCTCCTACGTTCACCTGTCTTTGATTCTGGAATTATGTTCTGCTAATATTTACATTAATACGTGAGTAATGAGTGAATTTTTTTTACAATCTTTAAATTCTCAATAATTTCTGGTTGTACTGTAGATATGCAAGTCAGTGAATATTCATGACACTAACGCAGTGTTTCTATTCAGTGTTATTGTGTGTGTGAATTACGTTAGGGTGACGTGGACCTTGATCTAATTGCAGTTATGGAGTTTTGGGTATGGTTATATTTGATCTATCATACATGCATCCATTCACACACACGAACGCAAACACACACAGGTGGGGGTTGGGTGTGTTGGGTAGGATTCTGATATGAAACACGTCCTCCGCAAGTTATTGCTTGCCTTCAGATAGGGCTAGGTTAGATCGGATACAACGCTCGTTTGCGGTTTGTTTTTTCGTGATTGATTACAAGTTGACTTGACTGCGGTGGAAAAGTGTTGTGTGTGGCGTTCAAATACAACAATACGAAATTAAAAAAGGCAAAAGATTGCCATTATAGTTATTTGTATAAGTATAAGGGAATAAGTACGCATTGATTGCCACCGATATTCTAAGACAGGTCTGTGCACGCAGATTATGACTCACGATCTCTGAAATGTTCAGCGACCTCTGAAATGTCCAACGCATAATAGTAAAGTGTAACAAAGTGCCACATATAAGAGTGAACTAACTGCAACGTGTAATAGTAGAGCAAACTGAACGCAGGGCAGTAAAGTACAACAGTCGGTCCTACACATGACAGTAATGTGCAACAATTAGTTGAACACATGGTAGTAATGTGCAACAATTAGTTGAACACATGACACTGATAGTGAACGAAACAGTGGACTCTGATAGTAAATGAAACACATGATAGTAGACTCTAATGGTAAATCCCTGAAAAAGCATATCATGATATTGTTCAACAATATCATCACTTACGAGTACATTCCACAAGCTTTTAATGTTGGGCACATTCTGCCCCTGCATAAAGGCCACGGTAAAAGTAAAACTGACCCCTCCAACTACAGGGGAATAACAGTAACGTCGATTCTCAGTAAACTGTTTGAAAGATTGCTGCTTATCAGAATAGAAAAGTGGACAGCTGAAAGTATAACGTTTCCCCACAACGTCCAATTTGGTTTTAGAAAAGACTTCAGTGCTGAGACAGCAGCTCTCACACTTGTAGAAAGTATTGAATACCATAACGAAAAGGATTCACCTGTCAACCATGATAAGAGATGTTAAGTACTAAGTCCTAAACTGGAGATACTAAATCCCACGTAGGAGATACTAAGTCCTACGTAGGAGATAATGAGACTTTAAAAAAATTCACCGTGGCCCTACTACGCTTCCGTAAACACGTGATCTGACCTATGATGTGGGTTTTTTATGTTTCAAATCATGTCTTTGAATTTCTGATCCTTGATCCTAATGATTAAGATTATGCTGGAAAGGATTTCGTCACGTTATTTACGAGGACCTATGCATGGTATTACACTGAACCATGCTGAGTACTTTCTTTGTGAGTGGTCCAATGATTGTTATGTGTATATACATAGTCTAGTAATAGGTGACTTCCTGGTTGGATGACGAACTATCTAACAGAGTGGTAGGCGATTTATGTCCTTTGCTTTCAATTGAAATTCGCTCACAAATATAACCTGTTCTTCATGTTGTGTATGTGCACGGTGGCCTTGGTGGCAATATGCATGGTTACGTGACTAGGAATGATAAATCAAAGTGATAAAACTGTGCCCGTTAAGATCACTGCCACGGATATATACGTATTCATATGTGTACCGACATACCAATATACACACATATATCAATATACAAATACTTGAGAGAGTACAACCACCCTTTTTAACACCGTCTCGTCTCTATTATTTGTAACCATCCTCGTGTATACATTTCATAAGCTTCCATTTAAGGCTAAACCACCCTATGTACGGTGCATACAAAAACCTTTATTGTACAGGCAACCCACGTACACTGACTATGTAGCAGGGCTGTGACATTCACGCATCAACAACAAACGCTTTTTGTTCTTTGATGGGCGATGGTTTATTGGAGTTGTGTGGGCGTGCAAAAACACAATCCAGGTGACACAATCGAATAAAATCCAAGAAATCTCAACAAGATATATTATCCTTCTAGCGAATGGGAAATACATCAAGAAGCTGTGAAATGGTTTCCTTTCAAAGTCTGAGATGTTCAGGTGTGACTTCAGCCTCATTGAAATCCATGGTCTGTTGACCTTCACCCTGAGGTGTGTTTCGGCTCGGAGATCTTTGATGGACCCAACATTCAGCTCGCATAACAGGGCTTGTGGTGTGCTTACATTGGAAACGTGAACTTGAACCATAACCTTCTCATCATGATTGTGGGCGGTGGGGTAGCCTTATGGTCAAAGCGTTGGCTCGTCACGCTGAGGACCCGGGTTCGAATCCCCACATGGGTACAATGTGTGAAGCCCATTTCTGGTGTCCCCCGCAGTGATGTTGTTGGAATATTGCTAAAGGCGGCGTAAAACCAAACTCAGTCAGTCAGTCAGTCATCATGATGGAAATCGACAATGGTTCTGGTAATGAGATGAGATGAGGTGAGATGGCAGAGTTCTAAATGCCATATACCATGGTGTATGGATTCATAGTCGTCTCCCTGTTTTAACAGAACTGGGAATGGTTCAACTTCACTTGACATCCATACTGTAGGTGTCTTGTTGTATCGGAAACAAATAGGCTCTTGGGTATCTAGATGTCTAGTATGATGCTGTTCCTGGGAGGTTCTTGATTTTGGTTGATTCCACCTTTGAACCTGTGGTCCTGCGGGGGACAATGGCTAATGCTGCTCCTGAGATGGGTATTGTGGTTGCTACTATGATTCCGACCAAACAGGTGCAATAACTGCTGGCTATATAGGTATCGCCATGGTGTACTGTTGTCTGCGTGCGAAGTGTCCCGTTGCTTCTTCAAATCAGCAACCATAATAAACAGAAGACTGGCTATGACTTGAAAATCTGCAGTGCTAGAGTTCGGACTGGTGACAGAGTACTAGTAAAGGCACTTGCCTCTGACGGAAAACACAAGTTGGCAGATGGCCGGGAGGAAGGTCCGTTTGTTGTTCTCTCACATCCAAACCCGGATATCCCTGTGTTTCTTTTGCAGAGAGAAACGGGAGAAGAGAGGAAGAGGACCCTTCATCGTAATCACTGCTTGCCCATAGGATCAGTTCCCATTCCCGAGGCATCTGCTACACTAAAGCCAACGTCTGCGCCAAGATCCAGGAAACTGTTTATAGTCAAACTAGTCATTGAGTCAGAAGAGGAAGCTCTGTTATTAACAGCTCTGCAGTAACAGAATACAACACCAACCATGTACTGCACAACCAGCCAACGTAACCTTCATACATCAACCATATAAATTCTTACACAACAAGTAGGGGAATATCATTTTTAATTTACGATTGAAAAAAACGTGAGATATATCAACGTTGATATGATAATACTGAATGTTTTGAGAGCGCATCACAACTTTCGCTTCCTTATGACCAAAGTATTTTTTACAGTAATCGCCCTTGAAAGATGATTGATGCATGACGTGAAATTTGCATGTGTACGATTTTCATTCTGTAGTGTGTGATTCCACCGCGAAGAGTTAGACAGTCATTCAGACGACGAGGCATACTGCGTATGAGTCTCTCAATGACCAGCTGGGGGAGTCTGTTCCATTCCTCCTGTTCATTCAGCGTAGTCGGCGGCCTTTGAAGTTGACGCACACGTCTCCCTATCATGTCCCAGACGTGTTCGATGTGGGAAAGATCAGGGCTCATTGCTGGCCATTGCAAACGATAGATATTGTGTTGCTGGAGTTGATTGTTGACTATACCTTCGCGGTGAGCACGGACGTTATCATCCTGAAAGACGAAATAACGACCGAAATGCCTAGCAAATGGGACAACAAAGGATGTCAGTATATAATTCCAGTAGGGGCCGTTGAGCATGCAAGTGAGCTGCATGGAAGCCTCATGGAAGCGATTCCTAATCGTCTGACACGTAACTCGAATTAGTCTGATACAGATTTGCTGCAATTTGATTGGCCGTTGCAGCTCGATTTCCTAAAGCCGGGTTCCGAAAGAAACGATCCTGTACTCTTGTTGTTGACCGTGGAGGATCTGAACAGGGTCGAACCTCAACATTTTGGGAATGATGATATCTGTTCCAAAGACTGACTTAGAAACATGTAAGATATTAGCCACTTCACGCTGGGTAGGGCATTTTGGCAATATGCCAATTGCACGTAAACGTTCATCACGTTGCATACGTCGCATTGCAAATTGAAATTGAGAAAAAAACATAATGGCTAGAAACAAACACTAACAACTGTGTGATAAACAAAATTATTGGTCTGCGGTGATTTTTTCTTCCTTCTTGAACACGGTCAAAATCAAGAATGACGTCCAAGGCACGTGCATGGGGCTACTGCGTTGTGCACGTGCATCCCATGCGTTGTGTTTGGGGGTGGTGATCAAGAGAAATGGCGGTGCGTTCATAACATGTATGTCTTTGAAACGTTTGTTAACGCTTATACTTCCTGTTTAAATTGAACGTTCAGGTTCCCCTACTAATTTTGTTAGTATTGTACAACCAACCCACGTAACTTGCATACATCAATCATGTACTTTAAAACCCACGTAAGCTTCATACACCAACTATCTATTGAACAACCAACCCATGCTAGCTGCATATATCATCCACATTAACATTCTGTTTCTGAATCCAACTTACCATCCAGTGATTTTAGACAGTAGATGATATCCAGCAACTCCAATATGTATTCAAATCTTTACACACTACAGATCCAATTACATGAAGGGAGCACTGCATACACCTGCCATAGCCATACTGGTAGCGAGGTAACATGCCTTATCATTTCCTTGTTTGTGGTATCTAAGTGTCCTTATCATAAACAAATAGCTAGTGGCACGTGGACCTTCTGATTTGTATTCGTTAGTCGATCAGTTTATGTGCATTGTTTACATATTTGACTTTCACAGACACAAAGCTCTTCATACGTACTCCATGTGAACGTATTTCACCGCAGGGCCAGTATCGTGAACTAATTGAAGTAGGTTGGAAGTACATGTACCTTGGAAAAAGGACCGTATTTGACCATACTGGACATTAGTGATTACCGTAGTAAACCATACTTTGATCGTAGATACCACGGTGTACTGCGGTCAACACAACTGTGCAGTAGAGTCAATGATGGTCTATTTGGGACAACAAGTCAGTCGATGTAGCTAATTCTGGTACCGCTATAGACCGGCACTGATTTACTCATTATCTGACACTAGCATCCTATGTGTTTATTTTGTTGTGGAGGACACTTCGAAATTTGATATATCAGTGACAAATATGATGTACCATGTAATTCGTTTGACTTTTGCTATACGTACACAGTATATAGTCAGCAATTGATAAGCCTTTGTGTGTACAACGTATGCAACCGTTGGGGCAGGATATGCTCAACTTTTCGCGAACACCAGGTCCCGATTTCTCGAAACAAACTTAAGTCTGAGTTTTGACTTAAGTTCGAGTTTTTACTCAAATTTGAGTAAATGCAGGAAAAAGCATTTCCCAAATGAACTGAAATTGGTATTAAACTCAAACTTAGTAGACAATTTGAGTCTGGTGGATAGATAACTTAAGTTGTGTTGGCTTCTTTTTATTTTTAAAATGGAGCTGAGGAAAATTGGGCTGTTTCAAATTGTCAAACTCAGTTTGAGATTTGAGTGAAAACTTAAGTTTGTTTCGAGAAATCGGGGCCTGGTGCCATCACTATTTGATAACGATTCATAAAAACATCCTCTCTCATATCTGCCACTGGATATAGTTGTACTACTGCTGTGTTAAACAAACAGTCAAACACATACTCATGATACAGTCGGAATTGTACAATCGACTCTGCTTTTGTTGGCTAACAACATACAGTCCTTATGGTCATAGACATATGTACCTCTCTTTCGGCGGTACATACTACATAGTCATTACTAATCGATTTGGCGTCATATTCAAGGTGCCATCATTGTTTCAACAGGTATTGGAAAGTTTGTCCTGATAATTGGCATTTGTATTTTGACTAAGATGTTCTCCCCTGCCTCGAAAGCCTTGACATTATCATTTACCATGTCACTTCATCGCCAGAGAATTACAAGTCTCGGTTAACTGGTGAAACCGACACTAGAAAAAAGCCAAGAAGTGATAAAAGGTATATGGACAGGACACGTGTATGACATCAGGTGTTTGTGAAAAGGGTAAGTATCTCATGTATTAATTTACAATAACGAACAGCGAAGAAACTCTAATAAGCATGACCAAAGTATACTGTCGCCTCGTCCAGCACATATTTGTTGTTGGAGACAATGTTTAACGAGAAACCCGCACGGGATAAGGCAGGTGTTATCTAAATTTTCGGCAGCACTTGTGAGCAGTTATTCTTTATAGTTGAACAAGCTGCGAATAGCTGCAACATAAGTAATAACGTGGTTATAGTGGAATGGGGATAAACGTACTGTGTTGGAAAATCAGAGGTATATAACGAAATTATGATAGCTGTAATTTATTATTTAAAACCGAACACTTTGAAACATATAGTATGACCAGAAATTATTGAGAATTTTAGGAATATGTTTAATAGGATTTCTAGTATAAACAACCTTGACCAGCTATCAAGTGCTTGGTTTCATTCAAGAGAGACAACTCAGTTAATCCTTTTTCATTAGTTTGTGAAGAGTTATCCCCCTTTGTTTACTTGCTAGCAGACGACATTTTTAGTGATCCTCAGTATGGATGATTTAGAGAAGCGGAAGTTGATTTGAGAGTATTATAACAAGGACATCAGATCAGCTAAAGTGATTTCAAGTAGAACAGGCATCCCTTTGTCCACTGTTTATCGTGTTTTGAAAAATATCGCAAATGGATATGGCATTGAGCACAAGGGAGGCGCAGGTAGGCCCAAAAAATTGACTGTCGGTGACAGGAGTTTAGAAAACTTAAGGCTGGATATGATTGATAAAGGAACTGCGGCTGTCTGTAAGGAGACAATTGGAACTGAGCTGCATGCAATGGGTTGGCAGAAAAGTCGAGGAATTCCATCGCCGATCATGAAACCTGAACAAAAGGAGCAAAGGTTGAAGTGGTGTTTACAGCATAGAAATTTAACTGGGACGATGTGATTTTCTCAGATGAAAGTTCTGTGTGGCTGTTTCCTAATAGACTGAAATTCTGGACCAAACAAACTGAAAAACCTTTGTATCAGCGCCCAAAGTACAGTCCGAAATTTAACGTGTGGGGTGGCATATCTGTGTTAGGGGCAACGCCCCTCTGTGTATTGGAAGGGAATATGAACAGTGAGCGGTACACAGATATTCTAGAGGGACATTTACCTCCATCTGCTCACGTGTTCTATGGACATTTTTGGATTTTCCATCAGGACAACGACCAAAACATCGTTCAAAGCATTTACAGGCCTAGTTTCGGACCCAAAATATGACATTGTTAGATTGGCCAAGCTATAGCCCTGACCTAAATCCAATAGAAAATGTTTGGGGACTTATGAAGAAAAGTGTCAATAAGAAAAATCTGACAAATTTTGCTGAAGTGAAAAAAGTGGTGGCTTCGATATTGGGACAGCATGGACCATGACTTTCTATTTTCTTTGATCAGTTGTATGCCCCGTCGCATTGAAGCCTGCATTGCTGCCCATGGTGACTTGACAAAATACTAACTGTTCACCTGTCTTTGAATCTGGAGTTATGTTCTACTAATAGTCTAATTTAATACGTGAGTAATGAGCGAATAAAAAAATAAATTACAATCTTAAATTCTCAATAATTTCTGGTTGTACTGTATAATCAGACAGTAAAATGATACATTATTTTCCATCCGTCTTATTACAAGTAGGTCCGAATATATTTTCAGGAATGGTTACAATCTTCTTTTGTGTTAAGATGGCTGACTGTTTGCGAGCACATGCTGTAATTTGTATTAAGTACCATTGGAACCGGAATAGATTATCGTTCTTGCTTGAAGTAGTTTTGATGTTCATGCGGCAATATGAAATCCTTCCAAAGGGGCACGTGTCGGTATCCGGCATGGTCTTGAATTGGTCGCGAATACACATGCCCTGTGTAGCAAGTGAAGTCCATGCACTTGATCATTCGTGACCAACACGAGTGCTGACGAATAACACATGTTTATTCTCTTGAAACAGAGTTACCTCCCCTAGACCAGTATGCACCAGCACAACACATCTACCAAAGTCCCCTGTATCCTCAAAGCCTTTTTCAAGAGCCAAACACACAGCAGTACACAGTAACTTTTATCTCAGTTCTAGAACATGGTCATTATGTGTTTGATTGTCTGGTTTGTTAACTGTCGACGTGAGGTGTTGTTTTCTAATATTATCTAATATTACTCAAGTAAAATTGGCCGGCGAGTGTGCACCTTAGTTCATTTTATTGTTTCATTTTTTGTACTTTTTACCCTGGACAGTGGATGACACATTAATTAAATAGCATGCTTCTTCTTTAGAATAACATGCTTCTGCTTCATGTTAATGGGCCTATGGCCTTCATGCAATAAACGTTTGATTTTATTTGAAATTTGAGATTCAAATACAGCAGGATGCTAAGAGCAAGTTGACTTTGTACCCTACAACATTCCAAAATGTTTTTATTTTGTTTTTAGAATATATTCTTGTTGTTGGGGCAGCTATGTGTTGTTTTGGGGTCCCATACCTTAACCTATCTGGAATGTCAAAATCATCAAAAGTACTGTCGGAAATAGAAAAAAACTGTTTTAAGGCTGTTACTCTGTATCCCTAAAATTCACACAATTGCAAATAGCATATGTCGAAATAACCCACTTTGGCCTAACTGGGCGTTCAGTGGGATGCGTAATACGATATCCAGAAAAGCATGTTTACTCGTAAATTCGGGCAAAACTGGAATAGGTGCTGAAAACAATAGATCAGACTATAGATGGCAATTAGGTGGCTCAGCCAGGTATGACGACGGACCGTCGACTAACCTGGCATGAAATGCACGTGCTGCCTACAGGAACAAGGGGTCATCGCAAAGATATTTTGTGCTTTTCATGTGTGTTGACTATGTCTCATCTATTGATTAACATCTTACGTGTCCTTCTTTCATATAGTTTCATATAGTTTATGTTGAGATATGTAAAAGAGTATGATACCCGAAAACCATAGAAAAGCATCGTAGTATATAGTTGGCATGACCACCCGAAGATCGACAGGACTGGATATTATTTGTAAATTGTTATGACATGCCGTGTACCTCTCCAGTATAATTGCCCTAAAGGACTGTCTTATCTTAGCTGATATCTCTATCCCCAAGCTTTTGAGACGGCCCATCCTATCTGTTTCATTTTATAGTGACAGTGAGACTGCATGGTAGCTACATCCTTAATAGTTTCGGCATAAAAGTTATTATTTTTTACCTCAGCTATCGTTTATAATGAATCTACGTCTAATTTCAAATTAGTGTCCTTTAAAAAGTGTCCTTTGTACGTAATACAATATCGTCGCACACTAATTTGCATAAAGCCATGGTCAGTTCCAAATAAGTCTCATTTCTGCACTAATTTCCCCTCAGTAAAGTCCTTTTTCTCCGTTTCCTATCTCTCTACCACCGAGACTGTAGTTAAGCCGAACTTAGTTTAACAGATATTTCACACTTTCACATATCAACTACATAAACTGTAGAGATAAATGAGAAAATACAGGGTTTTTTTTCTATTTCCGACAGTACTATAGCGTGCCAAGCTCCATGCATGTTCACAAAACTCGCAATT